GGACCCCCCCCGTCCCGGGGTGTTCCCGGCCCCTCCCTGCCGCTCCTCTCCGTGACTTGCATTTCCACGCTCGATTTTTCCTTGGTGGCGCCCGCCCTCTGGTGGCAGAAAGTGGGACTTGCAGCAGCCAGATCCGACCCCTTTGCCTCTGCTGCTTCCTGGGCAGAGCTCAGAGCAGGGCACGACTTGCTGCTGGACAAAAACCTGCATTTAAGTGATCTCAAGGTGTTTCCAAGTCTCATCTGCTCAAACCAAACCAAAAAAGCTGGTAATAGTTCTATATGTGCCAGAGCTCAGGGACTACAGGCTGTTTTCTATTAGCCCTCCTCATCAGGGAGGTTTTAATATAAAAATGCAGGAGTTTTAATATAAAAAATACTTTTTATCCTTACAGATTTATGAACTCGGCAGTAGGAGTGCCCTGACATCAGAGCTGGGGTGAACCTGTCCAAGTTTAAACTCTTTGGAAAGTAAATCATCTGTCATGTTCTTTCAGCAGTATCTGCTAATTACATTGTTTTTGTGTTCCTTTCCTTCATAATTTTTCACTAGGAGCTATGTATCTGCATCTAGCTTGTAATTACTTTTCAGTTTGTCATTTTCAGTGTGTCCACTCCTTTAAAAAATGTGATACTGATGTGAGTACATATCTGTGGCCTAAACAGCGAATAAACCCTTCCTGGACTTCTTCCTTCAGTAGAAGTTCTGTCTCTTTTCTTTCAGAGTAGCTACATGTTGTTGGTCAGAAGTACTGAGCGTGTCAAAACATCATCCAACAGAAAGAGACCTTTTTGCAGGATACAGCAGGTATTTAAAAAAAGGCAAGATACGAGGGTGTGTAGGATACTGAGGGACTAAACATTGCTTTGTGTAAAAGAAGTCCCAGGTAGTTCACTGGTGACCTCGTATTTCTGGGAATGGTTTAGTTGTGTCAGAGACATAAGGGTCACCCTGTGATCCCAGAGGATATCTGGTCTGCAGCTGCTGATGGAATCATAAGGTGAGAGAAAGGGACCTGGAGCTGAGGGCAGAGGATGTTAAACAAAGGGCCCCAAAAGAACCTTGCTTTCCCAAGTATCCTCCCAAAACAGGACACCTCTGTTGTTTTTGTAAAGCATAGGCCAGATCTTTCTTGTACTGGGGTTACACAGCCCTTACCATTTAGCTGGATTTGGTTTAGAAATAATTATGGCCACTTATTTAACTGCTGGACTCATCACTGTGTCTTCAGAAGCACTAGACATGATGTGGGGAGTGATCCTTTCCTGATGTCAGGACTCTCTGTTCATCTGTGACACGCTCCCTTGTTTTCTCTGCCTCCTTTGAAGGCCTCAGTGCAGAAGCTGTTTTCCGCGCAGGCAGTGACAACACTGTCCGGACAGTTCTGCTTGAATCACTCCTCCATTGACCTCACCTGCAGGTAGCACTGAACCAGGTGTTTCCAGAGTTGATCTCAGTATGTTCATGCGATCCAAGGGTTACAGGATTGGGAACTCTGCTTGTAGATGTGCCAGGCCTGGCATCAGGAGACCAAGTTGAGCCCTGATGCTTGCTTTCTCTGATCACCTCATCCTGTTAAACTGGATCAGATAATAGGGTTCCCTTGCTCCCTTCTGATAATTTTCTTGCTCTGCAAGTGGAAAGAGGAGCTTTCTGGGGAAGAGAGATGGAAAAGAGTGTCTTAAGTCAGACACCGAGAATGGAAGGACAGGCTCAAGCCTGACCCGATCAGATATACATTCTTTTGTTCTTACCTTCTCCTTCTGCCTAATGGTTTTGTTTCTTCCTTCTTTACATCAATTTTGGCTCCTTTTTGATCCATGCACCTGCTTTGACTTCAGATTGCATCTACTTGCCTTCCTGCTTCACTCCAGAATTCCCCATACCCATTTTACTTCGGCTGATTGGACACCACTTTTCCTTTACTAATGCCCATTTTGTTTCTTTCCTTACAGGTGCTACACCAACAAGCTCCTACTAAGCTGCCTTCAGGATGGATCCTACATGCATTTCTCTGTCCTTACCCTGCTTGATCAGCCTTGTCAACCAAACAGGTTCATGTTTGTCCTCTCTTGGCCCCTCTTGCATTTCTTTCCTCTAACCATTTCTATCTCTCCTTCTGCTCTTCCTTTTTCTCCCCCGCTTTCACATCTGCTTTTCAGCTGAATCCCTGTTTCTCTCCTCAGGCATCCAGTTAGATGGTTAAAATTAGCCTGTCCAAGGCCAACCTCTCACCATATAATTGCCTTCCTGGCCTGTTCATTTAAGACGAAATGTGTTATTTCTCTGCCCAGAATTGCGTACAGTCTGCCTAGTTCTCAGTTTCCAATTATATCACACATTTGTTTACTTTCAAACACTTCTAATCATTATCTTTAAGTAGACAATTGTAGAAATACTTCCTCACAAGCCTGAAGATTCTTGCCCTTGTTCATGAAATACCTGTGTGGCATTTCTGTCTCTGAAGTCTCTTTTTCAAGTCTTTCCAGATGGAATTGAGAAAATCATCTTGTTATTGGTTGCTTCATGAAAAGCCAAGTTTATTCACCCAGTGGACTTGAAATGCCTGACAACCTTGTGCTGCTTGACTGTTCATCATGTGACTTTCCATTTGGATCTCTCTCCTTCAAGTCAGCTTGAACAGCCACTGCAGGAAACTGGAAAGAGTCATACAGAAATTGGATAGAAGAACATGGAAGAATATCTCAGTAGACAATATTTTCCCCCACAAAACACTACAACTTGTAGCTAGAAATTAAAATACTATTTGTGGGCTGTCTGAGATCTCAAGGCATAAGAAAACATTTGATTCTAGGGATTTGTGAAGAAAATTTCTGTATGTTTGATCTAGGAGTGTGGTTGAGGATGGAAAAATTGGATCCCACTAAGCACAAAGTTTACAAAGATGTTAACAATTACTTGGCTTCAAAAGGCATTTGTGGTAGTAAAGTGTTGAAGCTGGGAGGATTTATTTCCAAACAAGAAGTATTGAGATTATAATGATGAGAGAAAGAATTTGTTGCCTTCAAAAGATGTAGGATGGAAAAGATCTGGGTAGACATAGAATCATAGAATAGTTTGGGTTGGAAGGGACTTTAGAGCTCATCTCGTTCCATGCCCTGCCATGGGCAGGGACACCTCCCACTAGCCCAGGTTGCTCCAAGCCCCATCCAAACTATCCTTGAATACTTCCAGGGGTGAGGCAGCCCCAGCTTCTCTGGGCAACCTGTGCCAATGCCTCAGCACCCTCACAGGAAAGAATTTCCTGCTAATATCTAATCTAAACCTACTCCCTTTTAGTCTGGCAGGTGTATTCTGTCCAGCATTGTCTTTGGAGACTGAAAAGTGCAGAAAATCTCTCTGAGAAGATGTATGAACTCAGGCTTTTGAAGCAGGAAATTTATTCTTTGAAGCTGGAAAGTATACAGTGAGATTGAAGCAGACAGGCTCACAAACTGATGTTAGTAAAAATAAAAGTACTGTCACCTAGGAAGAAATGTGGTCTCCATTGTGTCTGAGGAGAACAAAGAGTATTTCTGCCTCAATCAAAACACTGGACTCATGATGGCAAAGGAGCCTCTGGACTGAGTGGAGATCTGTCCACAGAGTGATATCAGCATGCTCATCTTGAATATATTCTTTGGAAATCCACTGCAGCTGATCCAAGGGGCAGTGGAGGTTCATGCTGCAATTAATACTGAATTGGTTCTTAGCTGCAGAATACTTTAGAAGAGGACATACAACAATCTGAGATCTCCTTGTGAAATAGAAAATATTCAAAACTCAGCCTCCCACAAACTGCCTGTGCTTGAGAACATCTTTATTGTCTGACTACTGGACGATCACAGAATCAATCAGGCTGGAAAAGACTTCAGAGATCATCGAGTCCAACCTATGCTCTAACTTCACCATGCCAACTAGACCATGGCACTAAGTGCCATGTCCATCACCTCCAGGGAGAGTGACTCCACCATCCCCCTGGACAGCCCATTCCAGAGTCTAATCACCCTTTCTGTGAAGAAATTCTTCCTAATGTCTTGCATAAACCTCACCTGGTGCAGCTTGAGACTGTCTCCTTGTCCTGTCACTAGTTGCCTGGGAGAAGAGTCTGATCCAGAGACTGGTCCCCACCCGGCTACAACCTCCTTCCAGGTAGTTGCAAAGAGTGATAAGGTCACCCCTGAGCCTCCTTTACTCCAGTCTGTAATGCACAACACATGAACAATGTTTGCCCATAACTTGCACCTTTGTTGAGAACATTTGATGGAAGGTTTGTGTAGGACGTTTCGTGCTTCCCTGGATTATTAATGCCAAACCAAATGTCTCAATAAATACTTAGGAAGCGCATTTATGTGACAAAGACTCCAGGTGGGATATGTATTTAATAATTTGTCCTGGCAATAGGCAGGAGCGGAGGGAGGAGCTCCGTGCTGGGACCTGAGGGCAAGCGCCCGTCTGCAGTTCCTGCGCTGGACGCTCGATGGCGCTGTTGGCCAGCGCTGGGCGCGTATTGCTGAGCAGGGCGAGACCAGTGAGCGCCAGTCAGATGCTCCATGGCTCACACGGGCTGAGCCCTACCCAAATGCCCCTCTTGCACTGGAATACGCCCTGGTTTAAAGCTTTTCCAAGGAATGTGCTGCGAATCGCCGCACCGAGACGCAACTGGAAACGTCAAGAGCACGAGGCAAAAGAGGGAATGTAAAGGAAGGAGAGAAACCGTCTCCCAGGTCTATCCCTGCGGGAGAATTTCACCGCAGGTCTGGGATGACTCAGAACTATTTGGTTGGTAAGCAGCGAGTTAATACCGGGAGAAATAAATGTTTGCTTTTAACAATGGTGGGGAAAGGTTTAACTGGACTGAATACAGAGAGAGAAAGGAGGCCAGTTTATCTGTAGGAAAATGAATCACAAATAGTACAGGTACCAGTCGTATTTACAGTATAACCGAGAGCTAGAAGGTTGGGAATTACTGTCCCAGCTTTCCTCACGTTTGCATCCGGGCAGCAGTTCA